GGAAAGATGTCGTAAACGTCATTCCACCAGTGTAGCTTGAGTCTGCTTGAACAGACCCCCACGCTTCAGGCCGAGGCCTTTAGTCCCACAATAGGTCTGGTTGAGATGAACACCTTAGACTTTCAGTTCATACTTTGCTCCAGCATAAAGATGAAGTGAAGTAGGCTTGCCAGTACTGATGGGCGTACCTTCTAGTTTCGGTTCTGCTGATATCAGCTATATTTGCCAGTTCCTAGTAGCGGGAATCGCCGGCTGGGATGTCCGTTTCATCTCTACCCCACAGCACTGACGCAATGCGGAAATTCAGGAAGGATGCTAATACACTTCCTATTTATGGACATTGTTTCTGCGTGAGTGAAGTGATACCTGTATTCTCTAGTCATTCTATGTAGAATAACTGACGCAATACTTCCAGTGACCGCTTTCTTCATCGTCTTCTCTTCAAGATCGTGTTATGGCTTGCAAATTGCTGGTAGGATTACGTTTTCTGTCAAAAATGATTTCATTGTTGAAGACAGTCATTCACGATTAGAGCAGGTAAAAACATTGTATAAATGAATGAGTAGGGCTTGATCAGGCACTTAACAAAATGCAAATACTATCCTGTAATCTGATCGTTCATAGGTCATGCTTTTGTATTATTCGTGCACAACCGTTTGTGTGAGCATGGCAAGCAAGTGTTCCACTTTTTCTCAAGATTTAAATCAACCTTCCTGCTCAGTTGAATGAAGTATACGGATACCAACCTCTGGTAGTAGCTTGTCAGGGTAGATGGCGACGAGAGAGGAAAGCAGAGGATGTCGCAGGAGCTGCCTGTTCCGCTACCAGGTGGATAACAGGCCCGAGCGAAGAGGAAAAAGAAAGAAGAGGGAAAAAAAGGGCCTTATCGTCCTGACCCAGTTGGAGGGAAGTGGGCCACCGGAACGGCTCATCCGAGTGTTACGGCTTTTTCGCGAGTCTTAGTCTCATCATCGTAGCAAGTTTTGTTCAATAGCTGAGTTACATTCGAATTGATCAAAACTCTCGAAAGAATGGTTAATTCCTATGGCAGAAGTTTTGAAAGGACCAAGAGGACAGTGGAAGAACGAAGAAGCGAGGAGAGGAGGGTCAGGCAGAAGTAACGGGCGCGGTGAGGGCCTGAGCATGCCCCGAGGCGGTATGTCGAAGAAACCTGGCTGGGTTCTTTCAGTCTGCCTCTTTCTCTCTCTCACTTGGTCCATGGCATCCGTTGCTTCCTGGTTCTCTTCTCGGTGCATCCACACAGTCGTACGTTTACTTTCTCTTCCCTCAGCCCTCCTTTCCTCGTCCATTCACTCCCAGATCCCGAGAGTGTCTCCCGTGAAGTCCTTTCCTGATCAGACGTGATTCTTTTCAATCGTTTGTGTGAGTGAAGAAGTGCCATGTGCCTGATGGCCCGCAGTCAAGTTTTGGGCTTTAGTGGGTCAGTTCCTGGAGGGATCAATAACCCCTACGTGCTCTCTCTCTCTCTCTCTCGCTCGCTCGCTCACTACCCCCTTTGTACAAGTGTGCGTGTGCTGCTTCTGCCGTCGTGATGGTGTCCGTGGCTGTTGGTATCGTTGTGTTTTTTCTTTCTACTTCCATACTACTAAGCCGTAGTTGTACTCCATAGAAAGTTAGGACGGGTACGTATGGCTTGGAGGCGAAAGTCCTCCCAGTCAAGAGAAAGGCACATGATAGACAGGCAGGGACTCGACTTGGCCATTATCTTGCTCGTTCGTTCGAGGATTACGGATCGGAGAAAGGAGACCAAATGCTCATTCACACGCTATGATTTTTAATGAGGGGTCGAACGAGAGGCATCGCGTCCATAAGCGAGTACGAGTAGTCTCTTTTTTAAATTTATTTAGTAACATTTCATAGAGTGTAAGAAGAGTCTCCGAAGAAAGGGGCTGCGGCGACATGGTACTACGCTGTACAAATCGTCAAGGTGTCCAGTTTCCGGTAGCGTTAGTTTCCTATACCCCCAATAGAAAGGTCGGTCCCTTCCGGCAATTCCAGTTCCTTCAGTGGAGAAAGACAGGAACCAGGTTTCCTGTTCGTGCAGAACCTGATGAACAATGGGTATCAGGAGGAGAAAGACTGTTCATTGACTTGTATAAGGGCCGGTGGAGATGTCGGAAAGTGATTGAACGAAGGTGGAGTCAGGTATGGGTGGTCATGATTAAAAATCATGACTGGCCCGCTTCTCAACGGGATAACGTCGTCAAACCGCTTCCTCATATCTGGCACCCCTGTCTTTTCTGCTTATTAGGTCCTGCCCTTATTGAAAAGTGCACAGTCACTGCCCTGAATTCTTTGTGACCATGCACTCTGGCCGTCAGCCCAGGTCACCATACCCTCTGCTCCTTCCTTGATTCATTCATCTCTGGAATGTGGCGAGGTATGCAGACATAGAGAACTTGGACTTTCCAAGGAGAGAAAGGAGGGGAAAGGACGTTTCTCCTTCTCTGACTTCAGAGAATATCGTTGCCCGGCATGCCAAATGGACTTTCGAGAGAGGGATATTGCGTTATGGATTCGAATGTATAATGCCATTGTCGTAAGGGATGGAAATCTGGAGCAACTCCCCTATGCTTGGGTGCTCTTCCTCGTAGTCCTGCCACCCCAACCAAGCAGGATGAGTGTGCTTTTTTTTACTTTTTTATATTTATCCTGCAGGCAACTATAAAGTGTCTCTCTTCAGGGATTGTATCGTGAGCCACGGATTTACTTGATACTGGTACTTTTTTGTTTCAAATTGAATTTTTGCACCTGAAACGCAAATTCCATTTATCCCATTTATTATATCCAAAAGGTGCTAAAATTGATTGGAAAATATATGAAATTAATCTAAAAATAGAAGTCAGCTTGAATATGGTCACTGTATTCAGCTGAACAATGATTTTATATGATATATTCGTAAAATATGCTAGCGAGCTCTCTAATGCGTATGTTTTAAGCTACAAATATAAAGTTACGGAGTACTATTTACCTCTTGAATATCACGAGTGTTAAATTGAAAAAAACGCTGAACAGGGAACTATCATTGCTGGAGTACATTGGAAACCGGAAGGTGTTCGTCAGATAGAAGTAAACAAATTGCTGGCCAGTTTGATATATTCAGGTGCAATGAGGATCTGAATTTGTTGGTGGTGGTTCCGTTGTATTTTTGCACTTCACGTCCTGCCGCTCTCCCGTTTCTTTCCGTCATGACCAAACTCATATTTTATTTGTTCGATGGCGCCATTTGTGTATTGGAATCGATTACTTTCCAGCTGTTAGGAGGAAATACGGAAGTCCCCATGCCCACTGATATGGCGCGTGGTCGCCGATATCCTGTATTTATGTTCGCCTCAAAGCGTTGCAATGCCGCACGAATAGTGGGTCATACGAGGGAAAGGAGGGCTTTTCATGGCATGATGTTGAGGGAGGAATGGGAATTTGCAGAGACAGCTTGTCGGGGTATGGAGGAGGTGGTTGGTTTGGTACCGTTAGGCCTCGGTCCACGCTCCGCGATTTCTAACGGACTGGCACATACAGCATACAGGCAATGCCCCTTCCACTCCCCTCCTCTCTCTTTTCTTTCTCTCTCCTCTTCCTCTATGAAGACTCTTCTTTTATCGAGTGAAAGAGAAGCAGCAGCTTCTTCCAATAGAAGGAGCGCGGTGGGAGCGTGACATGGTCAGATTGTGAGGGAATCGAGGACACTCGACTCAGCAAGCGGACGTTGGCTGGGTGTGAGTGGCTCGGAAGTGGAGCAAGTCGAAGCCCCCGGGCTATGTCCGTTTACCGTACAGTATTTTGACTGTACATCCCGGGTCATCGTCCTGCCTCGTTTCTCCCCCCCCCCCCCCCCCCCTTCTTGCTTCTGTCCTATGTTTCATGTTGGGCCCTCCTCTTCCTTCCGCTGATCTCTATCGATCGTCATTCTTGCAATTCCCTCTCCTTAAAGAAGGGAGTTGCAGTGTGGGAACTTCCGGGGGGGTCAGTCATCTGGGATTGGTCTTTGCCCAGAGGGGCCCCCATTTTCTTTGTCAGAGTGACCCATTTTCCGGCCTGTTCCCCCCTCCATGCAGTGCCATATGGACGTGGCGGTTACGTTTCATGCGTCTTAACAGAGAGAAAGGACATTAAAAGGAATTCCATGTGTACTTGTTAGAGAAACACGCTTTGGACTGCTCTCTAACCATATTTTCTTCAAGCTCCTTCCCCCTTTCCTCATCCTCTCTCCCGGATCCAGTAGGGAATATTTCCTTCCTTTCTGTTCCTGGCTGGAATTTGGGTTACATGGCCCATTCTGATAGAATGACTCCAGGTCCCACTCTTAATTTTTAAATTTTAAATACGTATTTCGGGTGTGGTACACACACGAACTCTTTTTCTTGATTTTTATGTCAGGATGTTTGCTGGCAGACTAGAGAAATGCTCTCACCCTGGAAATCTACTTTCCCTTTGTCCATTCACCTCCTGGCAGACAATTCATCACGAGTGACACTTCCCTGTCCCACTGGCAGTTCCGTGGAAATTTTCTTTGTTTCCATGTCTTTCTTGCTTTCCATGACCCCACATTCACGGAGAAGTCGTGAAGAATGCATAAACGATGAGACAGACAGTGACGAGAGGAAAGTTAGCAGTTTTAAAGGTGCCAAAGAAATACCGTTTGACGATAGAATAGGAGTTTTGTTTTGTTACTTCTGTGTGAAACCATCCAATTTCAGGCTAGTGTTTCTTAAATCCATCTGCTGCACCCATTTTTTTAAAAATGGGTATGAAGATATCTGCCCACCCATCCACAGTTCAGTTACGTATCATAATGTTTCAAGACCTTGCATTCTGTTTTATTCAAATTTTTCGTTGGAAAAGTTGTAGTGCTCAGTGCTTAGCTGCCTTTTGTTTGAATCTAGCTACATTGTAAAGTTGGCTCCTGGAATTAAAACTTTAGTATTTATTTTTAATGATGGTGTTTGTGTGGTATTGTTGCATGATTTGATGATTGCTTGTCTTTTCCTTATTTCCAGATATATACATACTGTTAATAGATTTTTTTTATATGTATGTTATATATATCTCTTACTACTATTGGACCTTTGCTTGCGAATTCAAAAGAAGACTTTATAAACTTGGCAAGTCCAAGGTTCCCAGTGAGTGAATGTGCATCCTGAAGAAATAATTTGGTGCAATTCCTAATGGTCCATGGTTACCACATTGTGCTTACTTATGGATGGAGGACAGGAGCATCTCTGTGAATCACAGGTAGGTCAAGAGGTAATCATGGTCAGGATAAGATCTACATAATGATTAAGTTCTAAATTCATTGACTAAAATGTGCTCTTTGCTCTCTGTGACAGCTACTTTTGAAGAATTCATGGGCACATGGGGAATGTTGAAAGGTAGCAGCAGCAGTACAGGCATGGCAGCAACCCCATCCCCACCACCCATCCCAAAACCCCCTAAGAAGCGATATACCCAAGGTGAACATCATCACCATCACCATGTTCACCATCACCACCACCATCATCACCTTCTGAAGCAGACACCACAATTATCACCAGAGCTGGTGCCTGAAAAATCACTGCCCTCTCACACAGAGGAGGTGACACGGCAACGAGCTTGCTCAGCTCTCCTTGAGTTAGCTGGGGTGAGTACCTTGGGACTTCACTTTATCTTCCCTGAAAGTGTGAGAGTACACACTTGCAGTAGAATGGGTTTATTTCAATTGTCTTTATTCCTCCTGGTACTCAGTTTTTCATGCTAACTTTAACATTTCTTCTTTACAAGATCCCTGTAAGTAATGCCTGAGCCTGGATCTGTGTGAACATTGGTTACAAATGAAACCAAAATAATTTTTGTATTTATTGATTTATTGTTTTGATTGCTATTATAGTAATTGTGCTGCTTTAAAAAGGTTGTACTATCAATGCACTTTGCTTTTCTAATGGAAGGAGCATTAATAAGAGCCATCTAGATTTTGGTATTGTAGCATGCAAGAGTTAAATATAGGAAAAAAATTAAACATAATGTGTGCACTCTATTATGCATATGCTGGATGTGCAGGCATCCCCAGGTATTGAATTTTCTTGGAATGACATTGTACATTTTTACATTCACATGTCCATTTTAGGCAAAAGAGCAAGGGGCCACTTAATTTTGTAAATTATGTTCTTGGTCCAGTGGATGTATTTTCATGATAAAATGGGATAATATTAAGGCAAAGTATTTTGAAGTTTTTTTTTTTTCAAATGGAGATATGAAACAAAGAGTTAAACATATGACTATCTAGGTTTTGTTAGTTACAGGGTTAACATTTCCTGTATCTTTCAAGCTAGTGTGTGGATGCCAGCAATAATTTATCTTAATGAACGAGACACAGTCTCATCCATTATATTTGTTTCTGCAAGAACTGGTTTAGCGAATTCAGATGTATAAGTGTATATGCCCATTTTACTCCTGATATGAACTGAATAGTCATTATCACTGCATAGTACCCAATTTATTCATAATCATCATGACAATTATCATCTGAAATTTTAATCAGCATATTAGCAGAATTTATTCACAAATGGAATTTTTCTATGCTCTAGAAAACTGTAAACAAGGATGACTCAAGAGTTGTCTCACAAGACTGAATGATTAGTGAAGACACTGTTTATTTGAATCAGGTGCAACTTTTTAAATGGTAAACTAAAATGAATGTGACAATTATTTTCAAATCTTTGCAATCGTTTGGCATTTTTGGCTGTTTTTCTTTAACTTGTTTTATTCAAGAAGAAAGTCATTTGAATTCACTTCATTAAACTGCTGTTAGTTCTGGTTGTTTTTTCTGGCATGAGCAATATTTAGAGAAGGCTGTGTGACAAGTATGAAAGTGGAGAAGTTAGTAAGTTTTGAAGTTGCAGAGAGCCAGAAGGATTGATTAATAAGTGCCTGGACTGAATGTAATGTATTTATTATTTGATATTATTGTTAGGGGTGCATGGGCAAAATTTATTTTTTTCCAGGCATTTTATTATTTGTTTTATTATGGATTCTGACCTCATCAATCTTTTGAAAATGAGTGATGAAACTGAATGTCGGCACAATGATGTTTCCTTGCAAAAATGAAAAGCACCCAAGAAACTAGTGCTATGCTGTGCTCTGCTGTTTTTTTTTTGGGGCAGATGCTTCAGACTGCTGGATGTTCTTGGTCAGGCACAAACAGTCGAAAAGAGATCAGGTCAACCGTCAGTATGAGTTAAATGGAATTCTAGAAAGATAGAATGTAGCAACCATTCATGAACATTGAAAACTTGGGTTTTTTTTTTACAAGGTGTTAGGTTTCTGTCCTAAACCTTGAGTCATCCCTGTTAATCTGTTAACTTGTCAAGGCCATTCTCATGTGTGATGCAAATGATGAGCATACTTGTCATGGGATTTGAAGATGTGGAACTGCCATTTTATGAAGCATTCATGAAGCGTTATTTCCCTCAAATGAAAAGAGTGAAATGAGGCTCTATTGCATTTGTAAGTTGCTGCAAAAAAAAATAAATTTGTTAACTTTGATTTTCCGTTAAAAAAAAAAAAAAAAAAAAAAACTAAGGGGAAACAAATTCCTTAAAACATTCGTTTAAAGAGGTAATAAAAAAAAAATAAATTTGTTAACTTTGATTTTCCAGAGTGGAAGAAAAAAAAAAAAAAAAAAAAAAAAAAAGCCTGAACCCCATCAAACCACTCTCATCTTCTCTGGTATGAGGTAAACATGTTTTGGAAAAATTGTATCAAATCACTCAAAATGATAATGATGACTTGACAATGACAAAGGTACATTCTGGATTCCTTTATATCTAGAAACTGGGTAGTCCTAATAATTCTGCAATGTTGCTACAGGAGACCATCATGTGATGATATATTTTGCATTAATGAGCTGTGTCTCATTTGGAAGCAAAGGAAAATATTTAATGAAAATTATTGTAGGTCTTCTTGATTTATGGTAATCAGATAAATTGTTTTAAAATTTTGAGGCTTAATTTTGTCAAGACCTATGTATGCAAGTAATTGAAGGCAATCATAATTAGCTTTTTTACATGCTGTATTCTGAATTTTTGCAACCATAATCTTCACAGTTGTGTTCAACGGACTGGAAGACTCCAAGGCTCCAGCTAAGAAATCATTTGGATCAAGACAAGGATGAAGCTGTTAGCAGAGGGAAGAGCCTGACATTCTCTCCCTTCACTCGAATTCGTAGTCATGTTGCATCTAAATTGGAAGCCTTCAAGAATGCCCAGGAAAAGAAGGAATTGGAGAATGATCAGCCATTGAATCTCTCAACGGAGCAGACTTTCAAGACATCCCAACAGCAGCTCATCAATCATGTCATCGAGAAGCTCTGCTCAGAACCTCTTACAGACGGCAGTGATGCTGTGTCCAGTTCCTTTTCCTTCTTTAGGACAGAATTTTTCCGGAATAAGGAATCCTCTCCGAGTAGTAGCAGCAGTAGTGGTCAAAGTGGTGGCTGCAGCCTCTCCCCATCGAATCTTTTCTCTGGTGTGACTCGAATGGAGGCACAGAGTACTCACTGTTCTGATCAGAACTCAGATTCTGGAATCAGTGAGACATGTGGGGAACATGAAGATGGCCAAGGGAGTGAGGACACATTTGTGCGTTCCCGGTCTTTGTCTGGTGTGAGAAATCGCACCCCAAGTGGGATGGACCACTCTCCTCGTCCTGAATCTTCCACAACTTTGCGTCCATCTGACAGTGAACCCAAACACGGGAGGACTATCAAAGGGAATCGAGGGAAAGATCAGGTGAAGGAGGAGAAACCCACCAAACTCAAGGATTGCATAAAGGTTTCACACTCAAGGTTAGTATAAAGGCTCTTCTAATGTGGTTAGGAAGGCAGAAAGTATTGCATATGTGATTGTTTATGTCTCATGTTCTGAAGCTCCTAGAAGTGTTGCGTGGAAAGAAGACAGCTATTGGTACTGTATTTCCAGTTCCTAATAGTAGGTGAACTGGTAAAAGGAAAGAAATCATGGTTTTTCTTGTTAATGCTTCCATTTATATTTTTTATTTTCTGTATGTACATGGATAATGTGGAGGACCTTTTGAACTTTTCAAATGGTCAGGAGAATCCATGTTCTTTATAACTCCATCTTGCACTGATAGGAACTACTTTTGATTTGTAGAACTTGTTCCATATGGTGAGGGATTCCAGAGAACTTCACCAGATTGGAACCTGTGGATTTTACTCTAAGGAACCTGTTTCCTTATGTTAATCTGTTACTGTCTAGCATCAATTATCTTTACCAAAACCAAAAAATCAGTTTGCTTGAATAATGGGAAAAGCATCAAGCATATTTAACCCCTTAAACACACCATTGTATTGGACAATTTACTGCCATCATGCACCAGAATTTTATATTAAATAAAATAAATATTTTGTTTCTGCTGAAGTCCTCTACTTAATGCCTAACAATACCTCTGATTTTACTTCATTTTGTGATACCCCTCCCCCTGTGAGTACTCACCTTGAGCAACCAGTGAGCATCCTATATATCAGTTGCATGGTTCCTCCATGATGCATATGGTGCATCTTGTGTGTTCAAGGGGTTAATACAATAATATATTTATATTCAGCATAAATATTTTTTTACTTACATTCATCATAGGTATTGCAATAATAGCTTTTTGTGATCTATTTTTGCTGTCCCAGACCTCTTCGAACATTTACCATATTTTTGTTTGATATTTTCATTGTTCCATCAGATATAGTGGTCAGTTTAGACAGCATTATCTCAAAAGGAGAATTAGAGCCTGTTCTCCCATCAAGTAATCTCTTCTATTCATTGTTGGCTTGAGCTGAAAAATATCTCATCCTCTATAGAAACAAAATGCATCCCCCCCAACATGCAGTTGGTTCTGATATTTCCAAAGATGAAAGCTTAGGTGAAGAGAGTAAATATTAGGCTTGAGGGCTCTGATAAGCTGGCAAAGATGGGGCTGAGAGGTAGCTGAAAAGCTTGGATTCCTTCAATCTTTGCTTCACCTACTTGCTGTCTGATTTAGTTATCAATATGAACCTACCCCTAAGCAATCACAAAAAGCAGCAACAAATGTACATACAGCTGTACATACAGACTGACAACAACTGTATGTACATTCTTAAAAAGCAAGGAATCACCAACACAGGAAAATACAATACTCAGCTGAAAATTTGCATTTGCATTTCCATTTTTTTGTTGGTAACTTTACATATTTCATCTGGATTGTTATCACTTGACTGATAGTTTGGATGATTGACATTCAAAGTGTCAGTGCTTTCTTGTAGCTCACAAAGGAGGCTATGTAATGACTACATTTCAAATGAGGAATAAGTAGCTGTCATTGGTCATGATAGTGATAATGCTGCTAGCTTTCATGACCATTTCCAAGAAGTCTGTGAAGTTCCTTACAGCATCCACAGTCCATCTGTGGTTTCCACTGCATTAAGGACAGTCCTTTATTCCCCTTTTGAAAAATTAGTCAAATATCATTACCTGATTCAACCAGCTTGACTATAGAAGTCTGATGAAAGTTAAATTTGGTAAAAAAAACTGAAACTTTCAAAAGGTATTGAAAAGAAACATAGTTGTTGGAGCTCTCAGTATTATAATGCTATTCTTGGGAAAGGTGGTTCTTTACTCCACTGTTAAAATGTTTATTGTAGTATATGTTAAAAAGTGAGCATTTACAAGGAGCACTCTTTGAAACACTCATATCTTCTCATATTGTGCTCCCAGACATAAAAATTGAAACATCAAACTTGTACCCTTTAGGCATGATGAGCCTATTACGAATATTGCCCTGCTTAACTGCCTAGTGGCTTTACCCTACATTGTGATGGAATCTATTGTGAATTTTGATGCTGCAGAACAGCTCTTTTTTTTTTTTCCTTCTGAAGAATTATAATGGAAGTTACTTTGATGTTGATGACTGCCCTCAAAAACTTATTTCCTATATTTATTTCTATCTATGACTGGCACAGACTTGAATGGAGTAGAAAGACTTCATTTTCAGTGAGCTGCTCTCTGAAAATAAAATGAGACTTCTTATGTAGTTACATGTATGACTGTCCTCATGTCAGCCAACACCTTGAGCCAATAATTGCTGGAAATACCTCTTCAAACTTGGAAGTGTTATAATTCACTTGTAATAAGCTTGTCATGGAATCACTATTGGAAAAATTTCTGCTCAGGTTATCAGCATACCAGCTGAATTTACAAAGGAGCATAGGAAAATAAATAGTCTTATCTCCTCTCTTACCTTTGCTTCTAGTTTTTTTTTCATTTTGCTTAATAACAAACAGTAATGATGTACTTGGGAGGTGGCCTATTTTCTCTTCAACCTCAGCCTAATTATACAGAATTCCTTTGGAACTCCCACCTCCCTGAGGGGACACTGGATGTTGGGTGATGTACTGCACTAATTTCATGGCCTGATTGTTGATTTGCTTTGATAATTGCTTTCACTTAATGCACCTTTTGATATATTGCTCTTGCTTTTGTGTTCTGCTGATCATAATTGAGCCACCATAATATTCAGTTATCTAAATTGGCTGAAAGAAAGATATGATGGCTCCAAGCATGTTTTTCACATTTCATTGAAATAACAGAATTAGAGAAGATAAAGCACTTCCTAGTTTAACACCACTGTGCACCTCTGGGGTTGCTACTCAGTAATAATGCAACAAGTTTGCTCCTAATTGAACTAGAGAGGTGTTCAATTTATCATTTCTTTCTCTCAATTTCAATCTCTCATTTTGCTTTTTTCTGTTGTCCAAAGTCAAAACTAGTCATTCAAAAAGTAATTAATTTTTTTTTATTGTGGGCAACATCCACTTGGTGACTCACAGGCCAGGGTGCTAACTCAGTCAAGTCAAAACTTTACTACAATATAGTTCATGAGTCCTTCTGTTATTGTACAAACTTGAATAAATGGCCCTTGCCATTAATATAAAATAAGTTGCAGACAAAGAGCAAAAACCACCCAAAATATATAGGTGATTGTGACTGCCACAAATTCAAAGTATGTTATAGATATGATAGCTGAGATTTGGTACCAACAAGTAGTTCTTGAGGTACTGATCTCAGGAAAAATCATACTTTAGGGAAACATTCCCAGGGAGGCTTTTTGAGGGAGGGATGTTTTTCCCCCAATTTTTTTTTTCCTCCAATGAAACTTGATATGGTTATGCTGAATGGTCAGGCACAAAATAAAAATAAAAATGTGGTTTGATTGACATGGTATAGCCCAGTGGCAATGCCCAAAGGGAGGCATATGATCATCAATAACATCCTTATTTACATTTTTTCAGTGAGAGTCCAACATCGACAACTTCCTTTGAAATGCCATCATCAAGCACCAAATGCTCTGACATGGAGTCACACGAGAGACCTTCTTCTTCTGCTGGCACTAGGTCAGTTATATTTTTTTGGCTCATTGAAGTTATTAAAGTATCTCTTTTTTTATCAATTATATATTGGTCTATACATTCGTGGTCAAGTTCTTGAAAACATAGGATTCATTTGTTGTGACTCAAGGGTCATATGTGATTCTCAAGAGCTATTTTTTTGCCACTTTTACCATCTTGACTCAAGGTGTCAGCCTGAGCACAAAAAGAAAACCTCTTGTTACCCCTATCCTTACATTGCACCAATAGCCACAATGACATGATCAGAAGTAAATGTTTCCTCTACAGGGTATGAGGAAAGAAAACAACCAATTAATTTTAACTTATAGGTCTCTGCTATAGCCAGAACTACTTTAAACTTTACTTCACTTTCAAGCAGAATTGTATAGTATTATGAAGAGCCAATATTTTGCCTCTTGGCATTCTAAGGGTTAATGAAACTAGTGATTTGCATTATGTTCCCAACAAATCCTTAAACTTCATCCAAGTTGGCCTAACCAAAGCAAGGCTATGAATCATTAGCCAGAACTTGGGAAGTGAGAATTGACAGGGGGCTCCAGTCCCTTCTGATTGACTATCCTCTGCCTGCCTTGTCTGACATATACCAAGGAGATTTTAAAACTAGAGTTTGAGTTGAATCTCTGTATTGATACTTCAGATTCATTGGAAAAAAGCTCATCAAAACAATCTGCAAGAAAAGGCCAACCCAAATAATTAATTTAAAAAATAAAGTTTAATACAACCTGGATGAGAGACTTGTAGCCGCAGCACTTAGTTGCTTTCTCCATTCCACTACCAGCAAAGGCTCCTGTCTACATTTAATGCCCAATTTCTTATATATATATATATATTTTCTCATTGCCTTGCCTTGACACAATGGATTAGGGTGAAACTTTGTACACATTTTGAAAACTTAACAAATTGAGCAGAGTTAGTTTCTGAAAATAGCTCCAGTGGGAGCAGACACATGGGTAAAAAAAAACCCTTTGGTCTTTCTTTTTGCTCTACCTTGTACTAGTCTTTGTTTCTTTCCCTACTTATTCTCACCCTCATGATTTTTTAATACATTGTTTGCAGGAGTTCTTCCAAAAGAAGCAGTGCAGAGGACGAAGGGCCAAAGAAACGTGGCAGAAGAAGAGCTGCCGAAGAATGTTCAAATTCTTCACCTTTCTCAGTCCCATCAACTATGACCAGAAATTCCAGCCTCTCTAAAAAATCTGGTCAGTGAATCATGATGAATTGAGCTCTTGACATGGTCATTTCAACATAGGATGAGCAGGGCAAATAAATTTATATATAGAAATCCTGGAAATTTTACCACAGAATAGCATGTAATTAGAATGGCACCTTTTTTTAATTAAAAAAAAAGCACATAGTAGGTAGAGTATTTATATTACAAGGCTTGACAATGATAATGGGATGAGTGCATATGCATGCTTAGCATACTTACATATGTTAATTTCATCCTAAATAATTTGGCACTTTCATAATTTCCTTAGTTTTTTTCTTTCAATAAATTTTAATCAAGGCAACCAGCAACCTCTGTAGACAGATGTAGGTGCATGCAGTCTTGGGCATGGGATTTGCTGTCACATTCCAATGAACATGGTCATTAGAGTGTAAAGTATAGATTTACATTTTCATTGGAGGTTTTATTCTTGAGGTGAGAATGGATGGTTAATGTACACCCCACAAACAACTTGATTCACTGTCACCTATTCTCTTTCTCAAACAAAAGTAAATGCCTCATAAATGGGGGAAAATTACATGTCTGTAATCTGGTGGTCAAAGCAGAAACTTAAACAATCGATGCAATGAACTCATGCTGCCTTGTGCATCCCCAGAGTTTGCAGTAACCAGTGGTAATTGCATAAAAGCAAATGTCACCCAATGTGTTAATTTCCCATCTCAATTCTCATCAGTAATTGGTAATACTCAGGTTAGGGCTATTTAATATTTCAGGATTTGTTGAATTCTCTGACTTAAACTGAAGAAGTTGATGTAAAACAAAATGAAAATTATTTGTACCAAAAGCATCTGCTTTTTAAATTTTATTTTAGCTTCTCTGGACTTCTTTTAAATCCTCACTATAGCTTCACCCAAGAGTTTTGGATTTAAAAATTTTCTATTTCCATCTTGCTGTATCACTATATAGTGAGATGTTTCTTAATTGCATGTAGGTGAGAACACAGTGCATTCCACGCATGATTCTTTTGGCAAGAAGCGTCGCAAGACAGCACATACTACAGTTTCTGATGGTGAATTCCCTTCTGAAGAATGTTTCATCATTCCTGCTAACTGATCATTATGTTTATATTTTTATTCTATGTTGTGACTGCAGGTGGTCCCTGCCTTGGGGAAGAGGCCTTGGCGTCTGGACTAACAAGCATTGCTGAGGCATCCCTTGGCAAGGGACGACGACACACAGCAACATCTTCATGATGCACTCCTGCATCTCTCCCCCGAGTGATTGTGGATCCTTCCCGGTCGAATGCAGAGAAACCAATGTTACCATGATGCTCTGGTCCATCTTCATCATCTCTCTATCCCCATCACTCAAGAATGCTTGAAAGGGAGAAATCTCAACTCAAAAAGATAATCTCCCTTTTTTGTGTGCCTTCCAGGCCAAGAGAGAGAAGGAAGGGGAACCTTCTTTTTGCCTGTGATAGAAGTTGCTTCTCAAGGATCAAACCATGAGTAGTTTTCATGTGTTCTCTCTTTTGCACTGCCACAATCTACCGGTTGTCTTTGCATTTCCCCAGCTGACAAGAATTTTAATTTCTTTTGGGTAATGTTTAAACTGATCAGAAATCATGTACTGCCACAAGCCTGGAAACATTGGAAAATGGGGAATTGAAGGTATAGGATTTCTAAGGAAATGTGAAGTGATAGTGAAACCTGAAGTGAGGCCTCTATCTTGCTTCAAAAAGTTTTGAAGTGTGTTTCTCAGTTGCACGAATTTTTATCTCTGGTGCATGTTAGCCTGATCTTTCTCTGTTGTGTTGTTGTCCGTTGTTGTTTCATGAGCACCAGTACCCTGTTTCAATTGTTGCTCCCTCTCCTTCCTGGAAATGGGCCCCCTAATAAAGGGAAAGAGAAGCTGTCTTTTTATAAGTGGTGTATTCATTGTCTATCAATCAAATATCACCAGCAAGGTGTGACTTGACAGATTTCAAAGGAATTTAGTGTTGTGTGGGATCTAAAAGTTGCTGCCCTAATTTTTAGGCAGAGGCCATTAATTCTATTTCCTGTGATGACAAATGTCTGAAGTTCTCTCCATTGCTCTCAATAGATAGAATTTAATTATAAATCATGGTCTTGGGTATGATGGTACAAGAGATACATTAGAATTGTGGTTATTGGGTGTCTCATTAATCTGTTGGCAAACTGGCAAAGATAAATTTAAGATTTATTAATTTTTTTTTTTTTACAAACTGCAAGCTTTCACATTGCCATTTATTAGAATGCTAGGATTTGTAATAAAACAAGCATGCTTCTTTATCACATTGAGTATGAAACTTTCATAGGAAAGATCAGTCTCTTCTTTATTTTCAACATCATATAGTCAGATTTGCCAGCTTCTCATTCAGAGCCAATTGTGTCTTGGATAGCTGGCTCAGATAGATCACCATCAGGAGATCCTGGAAATGAGAAAACACAAAGATGATTCGTACAATTCTTCATCATTGTCCACCTAGACATAAATTCCATCAGTTCCTTAAAAATTGGGGAGAAGAAAGCACAATTTTGAATCCTGAGAGAGTTCAGGGAAATATTGAATAAATCTTCAAACTTCTGCATTTTTCTCACTGTTCAGAAACTCAGCAATTAACCCAAATATACCCGGTATTATATATTGATGCATATTCTACATGGAGGTGCATGTCTGAACACCATCCTGCAAGAAAGAATGCCAGGAGTATCTGGGTTAAGCTATAGGAATTAGCAGGGCCATATGGAAAGAAGTGACTTCTTTGCCTCTTCCCTTCAACATCCAACTTCCCCACATCAACTCCAGAACTTATGCAGGGTGTCCATAAAAGAGTGAAGCAAATGTCAAAATAGCAATTTTAAAAATTGCTAAAATTAATTAGTTTTTTTTTATTATCTTTGTTTCATTGATTTACAAGAATTTAACTTTTTAGTTGCTTCATTCTCTTATGGACACTGTACCTTGCCTATGGTTCTATAGTCTTTTGAAACTCAAAGTCTCAAAGATCAAGTACATGGTTGAGTGACTTTTCCCATGTACTAGTAACATTCTGCAGAACTGCAACTAAAAGAACTTTTGGTTAACACATTGACTTAAGAATTTAGTGTATTTCTCCAAGAGATAGCAGCACACAATATATATTGTCTTATGGGTAAAGTTCCGAGCTACCAAAGTCATAATTTGGTGCAAATTCAGGGCTCAGAAATTAGTAAGCCAATGGGGCAAGTGCAGACTCAATCTGGGAAAACAAGGTGTCTGCTTAACCCTTTAATGCATGACGTAGCAGATATGCAACATACCATAAAACATTTTTAGAATGTGCAGTTTAGCAAGCTCCTGAGGTAAATCCGTTCACAGCAGATGTGCAACAGTCCAGTCCTTAAATCTAGCAACTATACGGTCACTGGGTGCCTAACACTCCTGGTGGCAAGCTAATTAGAACCAATCTGACTTCGTTGTATGGCAGATTGACGTTTTGGAGTTAATATTCTTTAACTTTACGCTAATCCAGGGTCCAGGCACATTTTCTTTTGTGCTGAGGTATGTATGAATGTTGGACCCAGTGGGCTCTCTAGCACCTATGTAGCATGGGTTAGAAAGCTGAAAATGCTGTTTGTAGTGAATAAGCAACAATAACATTTTCAGGCCTACTGCTTACAAATTGATTTTTTTTAATTTTTTCCACTTGTTCTAGGATGTGAGTGAAATCTACCAATTTTTTTTTCGCTGAAAAAGAAAAATTCATGCATTAAAGGGTTTAAGATAGAGTTATTATTTTGGAATATGAGAGAAGTGAAAACTATATTGCATTAGGTGAAAGTCCACAGACTGCCTTTTGAAGTAATTCCTTTTGGGCTCAAGCACCGAGTTGGTCATGGTAGCACTGGATATGCTTATGGAATCTGAACAAAAAAATTCCATTGCATGCAGGAACTATTTTGATAGTTAGGATACCAAGTACCAAGAGATACTTGACTGGAAAATTTCATAGGCTTCCCTGGAACATTAATTGCTGGGCAGATAGTAACATGAGAAAAATCACCTCAATCAATCGCTCTCCTTAGTATATGCTGCTGCAATATATAGCACTCCAAAATTTTAACCAGCTTATGTAGCTCCATTGCAGCATCAATGAATGAGCACAACACTGTCATGAATCTAAAAATGTGTTCCATGGTGGTCACCAAGACACTCTGCTTTGCTGAATGCATCCCACATTCTGTGCTTGGGGCACCCATAGTGTAAAAGCATTATGGGTGCCCAAACCAAGTGAAAAAAAAAAGTTTGCCTCTAGGGAAAACCATCCTATACATACTCTGATTGGCAAAGTGAGAGTAAACACATCAGAATTAGTTATAATTCCAAATTTAGACTAATGCCCACTGTCTGTATGTTAGGAGGGGAGGGGCCAGATCCCACAAGTTTTATTAAGCAGTTTTTTTTTAAAGTCAAAATCAGACTTGTGAAAGGAGCAAAATAAAACTGAGAATCATGGCTACAACCTCATGGAGAGCATGATTGAAACACCAAAAAAAAAAACCTGACCTTCACGTTGGTGTTGAGCATTTCCTCAAATTCCTCAGGAGACATCTTGGGAATGGAATGGGCAAGACTAAGGAGATGGCGACCAATCTCTTTGTTGGGAGGGATCTTTTCCTCCAAAATACGATCCACATAATCCATCACCACATCCAACATCTCTTGCATGCGCTTGGATGCAGCTGCCACTTGCTGGAGGTCAGATGGACAATCCACCACCTTCTGAGGATTAACCCCTCCTTTCAAACTAGCTGTGACTGGAAGCAAAAACAAAGTAAATGACTTAATTGTTATCGTACTCAATAAACACCCAAAATTTCCCATTATAGAACATTCCATCATGTCCACTACCAAGTTGGCTCATTGAACACCACTTGAATGCTCAACATATGGTTTCTACCATTTCATGGCAACAAGTGCAGATCACCTGAAGCAAAAATAAACATTAAATTCTGTCCTCTATGGTCATCATCTACACTGTGGCCAAATAATTTAAGGAACACTTTTGAAATCCCGTTATCTTCTCTTATAATAGCAAAAATGATTGGATAGTATTTAAGAGGTCTAACTTATATTGGACCTAGGGGACAGCATGCAAAAATTAATTTTTTCAAATGCTTGTATCTCTAGATTAATTTCAACCAGATTTCACAGAAACAAAGACAATGGACAAGAGTGGATGGCATACAAATTTCATAAGACATACATGAACCTATTATACAGTTCCAGGAGTTCATATGAGCAAACTATGTAGAGAAGTGAGAATCCAGTATGATACCCTTTGAAATAGTCCCTTTGACTTGTGATACACTTCTCCCAATGTTTGCAAAGAGCTTGGAACACTGGCTGTAACACATTCTTGGCAACCTCCTTCAATGAGTTGGTCACAGCTGACTGGAAAGTGCTCGTGTTGTCACAAAATCGCTTGTGCCACTCACACACACAAGAAGGTATATGGTCTTGATCAGCCATGCTTGATCTGCATTTTTTTTATTGTTCTCTTAGTGATACAGCTAAGATGTACTATATTAGATAATTTGAGGCTTGGGTTCTGAAAGGTTTTAAAATCAATAGGGATCCAGTAGCATCCAGGACTTCTCTTAGACTTCTGTAACTTTAGATTTCATTTTGGTTGTGGAGGTCTTCTTAGACCAGCTTGAAGTATACATAGGGTATGGAACAACTACATAAGGATACTATTGGCCTAGGGCTTTCTGCTTATCTACTGTATAGATATCTCCATGCCACAAATTGGTAGCACTCACTTCCAACTGTTTCAGGTTCATAGCTTGTGATGGCAACAGGTAGAGATGCAAACATGGTGCCACTTGTTTTTCCAGGAACTCCCATTGGCACACTGTGCAAAAATAAAAGCAACATATGTGGACTCCATGCGATCTTGTGCCAACATAGGCTCTCACTAAAAGTGTGTCAAATTCTGAGACAAAGGAAAGGTATGGGAGTTCTTACCTAATGTATGCCTTGACATCAAGTCCAAAATTGGAGAGGGAGGTGTCCACAGTGAGATGAAGAGGGTTTGGGCATTCCCTGGAGTAATATTCATGAATGAGAACAGAATGCTCAGTAATTTCAGGTCCAGTGGCAAACCATCCCACAATGGTCTCTGTCAAGTTCACTTTGTGATATAACTCGTACATGTCTTTGGCAAAATCCAGCTCAACTGCTACCTGCAAGGATGAGATTTTGGAATTTAAAGATTTGGCTAACCATGAACTGGTACCCCCAGAGTCTACAGCATGTCCACAATGTCTTGTTACCCCCAGTAAAGTACTAACTGATTTTCTCATTTCTTTTCAGATGGAAAATGTGTGATACCAGCGACTATACGATTGAATAATGCATATTGGCAAGTACTTGGGTCCATGAGCATAATGGCAAAACCATTGAAAATATTCATCACAGAATGTCACACAACCTGGCGCAGAATCATTCTCAGGCATGAGAATGATGGTGTAACTGTATTAAAGATGCATGTAATGTAATTATGTTTCATGCAATAAACCTATATGCAACAAAAAATGTAACTGTATTACAGATAAATCATAAATTACACAGGGGTAAAAAGACATTGTGGACATGCTGTAGATTAAGCCTGCACTATTGATGGGTTTAATCTTACTGTGGATTCAAAAGCTATAGCGAGTTAATGAGAACCCTGTTCACTGGATGTAAGCCAAATAAATTTGATTCATCTATTAATTCTGATTGTTTTGTACAGAAGAAAAAAAAGTGGGGGAGAGAGAGAACGGTCAGAGAGAGAACACCGCTCTCTCTCTCTCCAACCTCTCAATGTCATGTTATCAGAAGAGCCTTTACCATTTTGTCAATGGAAAAGTAGACATGCTACTAGGCTCCCTTCACAAAAAAAAGCCAAGCCAAGCATCCCACAGCAAGTATAATGCCCTTATTATCTGACCTACCCCTCAATTGACTTTAAGCTGGCAGCTAATCAGCTAGGCACAATCAGGCTTGCTAGCCTGATTGTGCCAGGTATAAGGCATTGCAAACATTCACTCAACATCAGTTTGATCATCATAGGAATATAATTCATTATGGCCTTTCTCATCTAAGGGAAATCTGACAAAGGGAAGAGAGTATCATTTACCTCGACATCAGATTCGTTGTGGGGGACGGAGAAGCAGTTGGTGATCTCCACCTTACCCTTGTCCATGGTTCCTGTGACAAACAGGCCTAATTAATAACATAACCATCAACTGGCCATTTGATATGATATTTATTGTTCTTAGGTTCTGGTCCTTATGAATAAATACCAATAAGTCAAAAAATTCAAAAGTGAAAAAAAAAGATGGCATATCCAGAAACTAAGATCAGAGCAGTGGCATACAACCAGTCCAAGTATGGGGAGGGTTCGAAGTTCACATGACCTGTCTGTCTCCAAATGCAAGGTGTTATCAAATCATCAGGAGAGATATACTCAACAAAAATGCAAAACGGCACAAACACACGAACAAAGAAAATGAAACAAAGAAAAATGGTATGAAATGGTGGAAACAGAATTTGAACACTAGATGAAAGCACATTTGATATCTGAAAAAGCTTAATATTAACTAAATAAATTTTGGGATTCAGCCCAAATATCACTGCACAGATGTGCAACTGGAAATTCATTAGCCTGTACAATTCACACCTTCCTTCCGTTTTCAGAAAAAAAATTCTGTAGCATCACACGTGCAGGACGTTTCCTTGACAGGTTCACTTTACCAAAGTGAGTTGCTACATGTAACTGGCATGACCTTCACTTTTCACTGCCTATCTTTGTGCCTTTCCAGCCTCACTCTCAGGTCGTTTGCTCATTATATCTTTCTGCATCCCCCACCCTTGGGGGAGAGGGGGATGGAGAAGTAGAGAGATACCATCATGAGCAGGGGTTTGGGGGGGGGGGGGGGGGGGGGGGGTTCAGACCCCCTGATCCCCCCCCCTGGTTTAGGGGGATGGAGAAGTATAGAGATACCATCATGAGCAGGGGTTTGGGGGGGGGGGGGGGGGGGGGGGATTCAGACCCCCTGATCCCCCCCCTTGGTTGCACCCCTGGATCATAGAGGTGGTTGCCATAATTATTTAATATTATCGTCACCTCTTGAGATTTTGCAGAGAAAAGTCTCATAATATAGCTTTCTGGTTGCTAGAATGCTGGTCTTCTTTCTGCGCGTGTTGTACTTGGGTTGGAGATTACTAATGTTACCTTTAACGTTTGAGAAATTGGTGAACATCGTCATGAAGATCATGGTGGGTCTGATGTAAAGGCCTACCACGCGCCTAAAAGCCCTCGCATGATCAACAATTCCTCTTACGTAGCAGAGGCCTCGGCATAGGCAACTAGGCTAGGCTATGCTGTTGTGAACAAGAAATATATTCCTCTTAGAGAAACCCTGGGGGAGCAACTAGATAAATCACGAACCAAGAAGAGTTCCAATGACCCGCTGGGCATGCTCGTTTCTTCTTTCATAAGAGTCTACGATGGTCAGTAGAACCACCGGATGAACACTGACGGAGAGGTTTAACGCCATCTTGCTGAACAGGAACAGTGATGCTAGTTATGAAGTTCCGGCAAGAATTACGTTACGATTCGATAAGGTACCGGGCGCAAGAGGCTCTAGGCCCAAAACTTCGCCCTGACTCTGAAACACCAGCTAACCCATTCTCACATTTAACCCGCACCCCCCCCCAACCCCTCCCTCCGCTTCCTGTAATGTCAGCTTGTACATGTAACCTTGGGAGACTCAATTTGACCTGTGCGGTTACTCTGGGGATACGCTACCCAGATTCGGCCTTCATGGCCGGGGATCTCTAACGTCCCACATCCTGATTGTCCTTTCCAAGCACGCCGGGGCTTGCACTCGGCTTGGGTTCGAGCACGGGTCCCCTACCACGAAAGTCAAGCTCGTTACCAACCGAGCCCCAATTGCTTATTCAAGCGGTTGATATTCCCAATATATTGTGCATAACTCGTAGTTTTCCAAATCAGATAATTTTCCAGTCATCTTACGGTATTACCATTTAGATTTCCTTCTTCAAAATATATTTTTCCTTACCCAGATAGCAAAATTCTGGCAGGCTATGAAACTGAAGGTCTGACACCATTTACGTCTCGCTTTCCACCAGAGTTCCAAAACGCCTATCTCAATGGGTCAGTTTATCTCTACCGACCCAGCTTCTGGTACTGCAGACGCAAGTCAATGACATCGATTTCAGGTGGGCGCTGGATTAGCATTGTCACTCTCGCCCTAGATCCCACTCATGCTGATTGCAGCTCAACGCTGGACCGAAGGAAGTGAGAGGAATTAAACAGGGTGACGAGATTCAATTTAAACTTTTATGGTGCGTTTTAATTTGTTCAACATAAGTCGCGCTGAGCATACTGACATCATGGTCCGAGTGCGATGGTGGGATTCTTCCAACATTGCGAAATTTTCCTCCATTTTTATTTTAATCCTTGCCTTTGAAGAGGACAAAAGAAAATTCTAGGTTATGATTAAACAGTGACAGTCAGCGGCGCAGTGTGTCGGGGGGGGGGGGGGGGGGGGGGGAGAGGGGCCCCCCCCCCACCTGGTGGGGGGGGGGGGGGGTGGGGGGGGGGGGGGGGGGGGGGGGCAGAATGGACACCCTCCCCCAATTTTCAAAAAAAGAGGCAATGAGAACAGTGCCCTTGAAGTCCTGTGGCCCTCCCCCCCCCATTTTTTCCATCCACGTAACGCTTATGGTGACATTCTCTTTCATTTACTGCTATTACCGTACTAAAGTAAGTTTTCCACTTTCCTGCCTTCATCCCGGAACGTCATCGGAAGTGCCAAGGACATTTAACACGTTGACCGCTACAGCAATGCGAGCCTATTAATTTTCCCATTCAGTGAGGCGCACCGGTGCGCCTCGTGGCGGTCAACCTGTTAAAGAAATACATTTTCCTGATACGACAGGATGGATCTACGGGTCTCCAGGTGAGTATGGCACCTGCAGACCACTGCTGTTGCTGGTATCGCAATCAGCAATAGAATGAACGTTGATGACCAGAGATGAGGAAGAACAGAGAAGATTCCGCCTTGTAAAGTTAGAGCCTACGCAGAGAGAAATGACACGATACACAGTATGAGTCAAATATCTGGAATGAATGGATAATGTTGAAGGTGCTCTATGTGGCCGTCATTCCTTATGATTCACTGTTTCAACCGGCGTAACCACTCGTTCTTTGTCAGTTCCATATCACTGCCAACAGAAATAAATAAAAACTCTAAGGATGAGTAAATAAATATTATAATAATCAAATATGCTATCGATTCCAGACATTTGGCACACGTATATGTCATGAGGGAATTTCCTCATTGGTCCTGATGTCATGTCATGACATCAGTCAAACGACACGCTGGAGGAGAGAATGCCCCAACGGACACACTCAATTGTGTCCCATGACGCACTAGGGTGCGTTAATTAACACGTTTGGATTATGGCCTGGCGACACGGAAAAATGTGTCATGAGGCTGGACACGTTTAAATGTGTCTACTGAGGCAGTGATATGTGCCAAACGACACTTGAGTGTGTCAAGGCTCATGACACATTATTCCGTGTCGCCCAGACGATCCAGGACACACTTTTTTGTCATTCGACACACTGATTTTTTTCAGTGTAGTCACTATCATAAGCATCACCATCTGCTGCTTCTCCCTTCGTGAGAGTTTGACACCTTCTGCTGCCTCTCCTATCACGAAGCTCACGAGAAAGAACGGCGGCAATCACCCGCACCACTAACAAAAAAGACAACAGGCGCTTTCGAAAGAAAGACTGGAGAGAAGAATCGGAGAGGAGGATCCTATCAAAGAATGAAGGAAAAGGAAGACCAATAATTCCTAGGAGAGGAAGAGGAATACGGAAGAAGAAAAAGAAGGCTTTGTGACGCAGTTCTCAGGGTTGTGAATTCTAGTCACGTGGTAGTTCTTAGCAGTCGTTCAGTTCTGTCATCCTCACGATACGTCGTTACGAGCTGTTGTGTGGCTTTTGAATACCTTATTGGAGGTTTTTCAATATTCAAAATGGTTCCCAGTCAGAAGGAGCTGACTCATCCTGTTCTTCCGAATTTTGCAGTGTCTTAGTATTCTGCAAAATGAACGTCGCAGCATCCATTCAGCGACTCGGGGAAGTTAGGAAAGTAAGAGCATCTTTTCCAGCGTCGAAGCCATGCCATGTCTTGCCAACCATTCATTTCTTATCAGTAGCTAAGCCATGTGAAATGTATTTTTCGTAGCTACTTGGGCTCATTTTGATTAAGTTTGAGCCCCGATCCTCTCTCCCTTATAACTGCTAAGAGTCCCCTTTCCTTGAAGTGCCTTATCAGGCAAAAGGCGGAAGAAGAATCAGGTCTCAAACGCTCGTCCATAATTAGGCTATTAGCCTCCTTGACGCCTGCTGGCCATGCTCTTTTCACGGTCACAGCTGGTCAGCTGGTCGTACGTCAGCACATAAGACTTACGAAGGAAATGGTTCCCCTTTTAAAATCTAGATCACGATCTCAAATTAATAAAACAGGCCTATGCCCGATCCGCCTGCGTACCCTCCCATCGTCTTCCTTCAGGCTTTTAAGCGATTGCTAGTGTGGATATGAAGCAGCGTGTAGGTTAAGGGTATTTTCAATAGCTTCTTCTGCGAAAAAGTGGGCGTTACTGTCGTTACTTCAAGCATTGTACTTCGAAAGAGAATTCTAAGTACTTTCATCGCACAAAAATTGTTTTTGTGTTTCGTCACATTGATGGGAATGAACGGAGAAGGGATTTAGTTACGTTGATTGAATAACCGTTGGAGTGGATATAAATGGAAAATGAGACATAATATATTTTATGGCTATATTGGAAAGTGATTGAAGTGGAACCAGTGAAATGTCGAAGCCATTATAAGGCACGATAATGCAATGAGACACTTTCGCAACGTGACTCTCAGGCACTGGTCATAGAATTAACGCGCATGGCTGAGGCCACCATGCCGGGGCTCACAAATGGAAGGGAATAAATAGGCTTACAGAGCGGGGTGATGAGCATTGTTATAATGCCTGGATCTCACCTTTACCGAATCTAGACAGAGCCACTTGTTTTGGTTTCGCCGAGCCCAAAAAGCCCAAGCTCTGCTGCGAGGCGAATGCAGACAGGACGAATGGTTGAGGGATTCCTTTAGGACAGCAAGCTTCAAGGTCAGACGTCTTTATTCTCCATTAGCCCTGTTTTCAATCTCGATCTTCGTTCCAACTTATTCCACCCACTCTCCCTTGCAGTAGCCAGCATCTTTTTGCCGGTCATTCACTTTCTGGAGCATTTTCTCTTGGAATCGAATGTATGTTCTAAACGAACGTTCGGCTGATTATCACTAAAGGCACAGTTTTCCATTCAGATTAGCATTCGTACATTCAAATGAATCATCTCCAGGACCGATTCCCAACCCAGATCAAGTACGGCGACCCCGGATCACCACTGGGCGATGCATTTTCTCTAATGGAAGGCCTTGGCCAAGTGTAGCGTAGTCATCCATCAGTACTGCATCACGTCAGTACGATGTTAAATGGCGACCGTAGCGCGCAAGGAAATTCCGATCGTTTTAAAAACGCAGCCCATTTCCGTCATTTTATTTATCTGTAGAAAGAAACATTGGCTCGTGGATCTTTTAACATGGAAAATGTGGTCGGCTAAGTCAGCTGTCAAGTCTTAAATTCTATTCAATCTGGCATTAGTAAGGTTGCCTTCACGTAACTCCCTTGCATCTGAGTCGTCATGACTGGAATAATATTGAAATGGACATGTTAGGAAGCTAGTAAAGGAAAAAAAAAAGTCTAGACGGACCCGGAAATTTCTGTTTTCAGCTCATCGGTTGGCCCTTTTCTCTCTTCCTGCGTTATTCATTCCTACCAATGCGAAACACCCTGACGAATCTATAACGAAAATCGAATCGTTCTGTTTGGTGATATGGGTCACCGATTTCAGGCCAGATCGCTCGATTCTTGAGGAAGAATTCAGTCGTCTCTCAGTCTGGGGTACATAGGGGATCTGATGAGACTAACAAAGCAACATTTTACACCTCTGTTTTAATTTCTTTTGCGAGGAAGTTTGAATGATGTAATCGTTCTTCCTTCCCACAGCCAACAGTAGTATAAAAAGGGTAAGTTTGACCGGAGGCGCAATGGAGGCGCGCCTCCATTGCGCCTCCGGTCAAACTTACCCTTTTTATACTACTGCCAACCTCACTCGCAACTCGCGGGCTACCAGTTTCTCAACTCCTTCGTCTTCTTATTCGTCTCTTCAACTTTCCTCATCACCAGGTCAGTTTTGCTCCATTTCAAGTCTCCATGTCTCATTCCGAGGCTGCTCAAATATGTGCGTAACGTCGTGGAAGCTTAGAGTTTGCGTGTAGACTAGGCCTATTGCAAAGGTGGAATTCTGCCCAGAAGCATATGGAACTCAAATTTATTCTATAGTGAATTTCTATCCCTTCCATTAAGCCACGAATGTTTGTGCAGTATGTCCCATTAGTCATGATTTGACATCGTACGGTATGTAATCGTGTTTAGGCTCTCATGGGATGTACCGGGTACTGGGACAGTTTTTCGAGAGCCAATCATGCACAATGCCAAACAATGGCCAGTTTATGTCATGGCTTTTGAACAAGGAAAATTAGGACGAAAATGCTATTAGCGAAAACTTTTTCGATTTTCGTCACGCTGACAAAAACGAAAAATGGAAACTCTGTTCTGACAAAGAAGTGGACGAGAACGAAAACTCAGGACATCATGGTCAAACGTTATTTATTTATTTTTGTCATGCATTCATCTAATCCTGCCAATACATGCGTTCCATTGGATATGAAAGTGAAAAATACTAAAGGCAATATGCTTTTGCCATACGAAAGAGATTTTCTTCTTGGAAGGCCTATCTGCATCTTCCAAAAGTCTTACGTTATTCTTGGGACTCAGGAATGTCAGACTAAAATGCGAAACGCTGAACCAAAGGGTTATTCCCCTATCTTTTTTATAATCTGACAGATGGAGAAAATGGAGCGGTTGGGCACGAGTACACGTGTTCCAAAAAATGGGATTCTGTTTGACTGCAGTGGTCAACTTTGCTTTGACGAAAATTTATAGAAACCTTTCATTTGGTCAGAATTTGTCAACATTTTTATCTTTCGTCTTAATGGAACAAAAAATGGCAAAAGCTCTACTACACTGATAAAAATAAAACCGTCGTAATTAATTTTGAATATCGGACAATAACAACAATTATGCCCAACCAATCCGACGAAAGTTAAAATAAAAGTCTGATCAACCGACGAAAACATGATTGCTTCTTAGTGTAAATGCCGATGCACACTGACGGCGAAGCACTGTGACGATCGCAGTTCGCTGCAGACTGTCGCAGAGATGAGTGGGAGTTTCGCATTCGGTACTGCAACGTGTTTCTAGGGGGAGTCGCAGGTTCATTACCTTGGTGTCTTCGCCTTAAAGTAAAAAAAGCTGAACTGCGAATGGTACGAATTTCTTCGGTTATGATAGCAATCCATAATCGAAGTAAAGGGATGAAAGAAGAAGAAGTATAGTGCATTATGTTGCAAACCAAAACTCGCGAACTTGCGGTCCTCTTTTTGTATCTAACCTGACATAGAAGATAGGTGGGCAGCAGCACGCTTCCCAAAATGTCCGCACTTAACAGTAATTCAAAAGGTAGTGTGAATTATTTGAACTGCTTTCGTTCATACCTTTGCGACTTTATTTATTACATTTTCGTAATGACTGCCCCTTCATGAACTTTCCCAATGCAAAGTCAGCCCCAAAAAGTACGAACCGATTTCGAGAAAGTGTTTAGAGCAACCGCAATTACTCTAAACCAATCCGATTTCAATGTTTGTTCCAATGTGATTCACAACCGGTTTGCAGGATATTGATATTAATTTCAGTGATCAACTCACTGCGAACTCCCCAGACAGTTGGAGTCGGACTGTAGCGATTTGAAGCATCAAATTGGATTCCACTCTTGAGTATATACTCCTACTTGAAACGAAAACTCAATAAATTTTTCGGACGCGCGTTGGCCTAATTCTCGGTTCGAAAAAGGAATGACGTTTCGGATGCAATGATAAAAAGCCAATATTAAGGTTCTTGCAAAACGTGCATCATCCGCTTACAATTCTTCATTACTTTCAGTAGTTAAGTGCTTCGTTTGGTCGACGTTCCACCTCGTTACTCTCCTTGGGTTGTCTTCGCCCTGAAACGAATGCTGGAAGAAGCCAGAGAGACCAATCTGGCAAAGTTGTAAGCATGATAGAAAGGTTGCCTAACTCTTATCGTCGAAACAGGGATTGAGACTGTTGCAGTTGGTCATCGCGCCTCTTAGGACACGATAGCAATGGGACATAGCTTCTTACCGTACGAGTCACTTACAGTTCGCACTCGTGCTGAAACTCCGAAATTGATATCTTCTTTCCTTTCCCAAAATCTCCTTGTCCACAAAGTGGCCTCAGAGATGATACTGAGCCCTTTGAAGGGAAGAAGTTTTCTGAGGTTTGAGCCCATTCAAAATCGAATTCGACCTTCCGATGGGACAAGTCTGTCCTGACCCCAGATAGAATCCATACTCACTGTCAGATACCATGCGAATTCTAACCGAAGGTTTTGACATAAGATCTATGAAATTTTCTAATTATTCATGGTGACTGTTGGAAAAAATTCCATTCAATTCAAGGAATGCCTCGGGAAAAGTGAGATATAAAAAAATCTATGAACTTTTTCTCTAGTATATTCTTTCCATACCGTCCAACGGATGTTGTACAAATGTGCAAAGTACAAATATACAATGTACAAAATAGCATGCCGTCGACGGAAACGTTCTGGAAAAGAGAATATGCGAATCGCTTGAGAATGGAGAATCGCTTTCATACTTCTATTGTATGAAAGAAACTCTGAATTTGCCAAATTGTGCACCGGTAAATGAGGAGGGAGGGGAGAAGGAAGGGGATTAAAGTACTTGTGTTGAGATCCGTCATTTGAGCAACATTTTCTCAGAAATTACAGATGGGTAGATGTAGCTTCCTCAATGGATACTCCATCGTCTTCAGAAATTGATTCCAATTCATCATCCTCCTCGACTTTCACTTCCGATGGAGATGGAGGAAGAATGGATAGTTTCTCTGGATGCCTCTCCGCATGTGCCTGCAATCCACGAACCCTCACCCACTGTGATCTTGAAAACGCCCCTTTATCTGATACAACTCCGACACCGAGTGGGAACGCCGGCGCTCTACTTCGGCAGAACAACGAGGACCAGGACAGACAGGTTGGTCAAGTCTCTTTTTCGGAAAGAGTAAGACATCGTCGAGCAGCGGTCGCCCGAATTCCTACAGGACGGAATGTTTCATCAATGCACATCTATCTGTGTACGGCATATCTTCTATCGGTCTGACTTAGCAGTTCGAAGTGCACCCACCTTAATTTCTCCGTGGTCAAGGACGAGAACTTTATCGCTGTCAATGATCGTATCCAAACGATGTGCAATCGTCAACACAGTGCAATCATTAAAACTCCTTTTAAGTGTGTCTTGGATGAGGGCATCTGTCCTGAATTAGGATTTCGAAAGTGGCTTGTACTTCGTCACGATTTCAGACGCTCTACAAAGAAGGGATGATTGTTCTCACTCTGGATCGACGTTGGCTGTGGCTTCATCAAGGACAAGGATTTTGTTTTGACGAAGGAGGGCCCTGGCCAGGCAGACAAGCTGCCTCTGACCGACAGAGAAGTTACTTCCCCCTTCAGAGAGCTTCGTATCAAGTTTTTCCTTCATTCCACTCACTGATTGCTTCAGCTGAACCTGAGAGATGAACGGCAGTTCTGACTGATTAACTTCGTTTTCTAGACATGGGGACTTGAGAATATTTCAAGGTTGAACTCACCTGTTCCAAGACTTTCCACAAAGCCTCGTCCGAATGCTCATCGAATGGGTCAAGGTTCCGTCGCATCGTTCCCTGTGAAATCAAACCCATAAGGATATTGAAAAACGGCAGGAAGTGGATAGCAGATAATGAAAAAGAAATCCATGCATGAAGGGAGAACCTGGAAGAGGACTGGATCTTGTGGAATGATAGCGATTCCCCGTCGGACTTCATGGAGACCGTACCGGAACCACAGAGAAGGCAGGTTCTCCTAAAATGGGAGTCCAAGGCACTCTGCCTTTTCCCGCCAATAGTCGCTACTGAAGGGACGAGGACAAGAGGGGTGATAAGGGTGGATCTTTGCTCCACATTAGGCAAAGGAGTATGGCATCCGTCTTCGTCACACAGGAGGATTGACGATTTCTTAAGGTTGAGTTGCACACCTTTTCTTTGGCCGCTATTGTGAATGTGAGGTCCTTGAGTACCGGCGATGAGTCAGGGGCATATCGTAGGGAAACGTGCTCGAATTTCACATGCCCTTCTGATGGCCAGCCTAAAGGTGGCTTCTTGTCTGCAACAAGGGATATGCGAAATTCAAACCTTCTTCCTCAGTGGGATGTGAAAGGGGGAGGGGGCGGAACATTATGTTAATTGTTTACCAGGGGGAGATTCGAGGGCCGCCTCTTCTTTCAAACGGGAATATTCCATGATTCTCTCCACAGATGTCATCTGATTTTCCAGTTCTGCACTCTGTCGTACACCCCATTGAAACATCCCTGTCAGCATAATTGCCGAGGATATCGCGAGCCCCACATCCCCACCAAGTGCCTCTGTTTGATTCCAAAACGCCGTCATTGCCTATTATATCCATCTAGTTGGTTACAGAGAATCTACGAGAACTTCTTAATAGTACCTTGACCAATTGCCATGAAACTGTAGGTGGTTGCAGCCAGATAGACGACAATTAACCAGTCCAACCAAATGCCAAACCATCGGGTGCCAGATAGGAAAAGGAACCATGAGGAAGTGTGAAGATCCTGTGAAATGGAGAGAATGAGACTTTGGGAATATTTTCTCTTGTAACCAAATACGAAAGCAGAATACTGCTTTTATGCCTCACTTGATGATTGTCAAACTCCTTTATGAAGATATTCTCGGCATGCGAGGCTCTGATGGTCGCCAGCCCATTCAAGGAAGCACTCAGATGAGAAAAGACCGGACTTCGTGCTGTGATTGCAAGTTTGAGAGGAGATATTTAAGAAAGATGGTTCATTATGTTTTCAGTTGAAATCTGTTTTTTTTTTTAATTTCCATGCCTTAGAAAAGGCACAGATGAAATCAGGCTGTTCTCAAAAAGCACGTCAAACAGTGCGAAAAGTTATCTCAGATCTCAGACTGTGTACATGCGATCGATTGGAGCATTCGACAGAGATATCAGCATAAATTCAACATACTGATGGATTCGAGGCGCTTCAGGTCTCTGGCCGTATTCAGATAGAAGTGACGTAGACGACTGAAGACCACCATGACAACGAATGTGCTAATGACGACATAGTAATTGACAATGCAGAGAAGTACTGAGATGCCCAATACTTGGCAAACCACCTACGAAGAATCAAGACAATTCTCAGGCGTAATGAAAATCACAAGAACTATTGAAAAACGGCGTCAAATTTGCAAGACATAGCAAGCAAGATAATAGCATTTGATGGGAAAGGAGCCTGCCAGCAAATAAAGCGAAAATAGGTCGGTTTATGTGGTCTCATGAGCTTTTCATACTAACTTCGAGCCACTAGACATCTCGTGCAGTGAGGTACACTTCAGAGTGACATGGGAATGGCACAGCGGAGTAGCACTGATTATGCATGAATTAAAAATCAGTATCATTATCGATATTTCCAAAACCATGAATAGGGTTTGTAGCAGAAAGAAACAGTCCATGACATGCAACTTATTCATTAATTCCTCAAACGGATTGAAATGTTCAGCAAATTGCGTTTGCAAGTTTCTGAAGAAGGAACTCGTCCAAATTCCTCGTATCGCTTGAGATACGGTTCAGAATCTGCCGCTGAGTTGTGAATGAACACTTATTTTCACCCAGATAATGAAATGAATAGCGACGTATAGAATTTCCTTAAAATAACAAGCAAAGAAACCACACTGTTTCAAGAGTTGATCGAAACGGAAATATAAGAGGTTTGCTTAGTTAGCAATAAAGTGTGAAGGTCACTAATGTTATTCCAAGCAACAGTGCAGATAATGCAACACACTTTGAATCTGATCATCTTACTCCGAGACTGTCGAAAGCCGTTGGAGGCAGCATGTCGTCTGATGCTCCGACGTCCTTGCTGAATCTGTTCAGGATCCGGCCTGCAACATGGAAAGTATGTAATTTTATTTATTGTGCATCAGCTGTGACACATTCGTTTTATTCATTGGTTCGACACGAATGGCATTTGCGATGGCCTCTCGGAGAAAAGAATGTGAAGATGGGACTCACCAACTGGATTGTTATCGAAGAAGGTGACTGGGGCTCGGAGTACAGATTTGAACATGCGAGAATGAAGGTTGATGGAAGAATTCATGCAGATATGGAAGAACAACACCGTCCTGAAGATGGAGAGTAAAAACAAGGCTACCACGATCGCCACGTAGATGTACATAGGTGTCCATGGATCCAGTTGTGGATTGCCGAAGAGTATCTCCACTGTTGAACCATTAGTTCTGTTTGCCGCTTCCTGCTGAGCATTAGTCCTGGAAACAGAGGCAATAGCAAGTTATGTGTTCCCTTCCAGACTTCCAAGTGACTTCCTTCGAGAGGAAGGCAGAAACATTGATAGGGAGCACGAACCAGTACGAGAGCCACCAATCAGAGCCCGAGAATGCACTTTGAGTGAGAATGTTACTGACGATGAGGAGGAAGAGAAGGAACCATCCAGCACCTGCCTTCAGGTAATCCCAGTATATCCTTGCTGATAAACTCCCACGAGATCTCATTTCTTCTGCGAGTGTCGGTGTGGTGGCTTTGTCTCGCAACTGTACACGATGTTACGAATTCGCATTATGGACTCTCGAAATATCCTACTGTACATCGAGATGACACAAATATGAAAAGCTTTACTTTCGTTGGAGGTCCCTCCTCCATGCAAGTCTGAGAGTCCAGACTTTTCAAGCTTTCATTAGAACAGGTTCTATTTCTCCTCGTCAAAGACGGCTCTTCCTCGAGATGATGAGAAGTCTCATGTGTGACCATCAATTTCGTGAAATCTACTCCTGATTTCAGCAGTTCGTCGTACGTGCCACTCGTCGCCACTTTCCCCTGCGTGGATGGAACAGACATATCTCAATAATTATATGAAACCTAGAATTGCATCGATGAGAGTGATGGATGTTACATGTGATAAGACGATGATGACGTCTGCCTTTCGGAGGAACTGAAGCTGATGAGTGACCAATATCCTCGGCTTGTCTTTCAAGTATCCCATGATGCATTTGTTGAATAGGTGTCGTCCTACATGAGCGTCTACCGCTGACAATGGGTCGTCCAACAGGTAAATGTCTGCTTCTTGGTACAACGCTCTATCGGCAACAAAACCATCAGAACTCAGTGCTTCTTTTAAAAGAGCGCTTATACCTTGAATGTGGCAAGAATGAGGAAGAATAATTGTGCATCCAGACCTGGCAAGAGAAATGCGGGCTTTCTGTCCACCAGAGAGAGTGATTCCACGGTCCCCAACAAGACTCCGTTCTCGATGGGGGAAATGCTTGAGGTCCTTGAGAAGTGCGCAGGCGTGTACGACTCGGCTAAAGAGTGTCTTATCATACGTTTTCCCGAATGTGATATTTTCACGGATAGATCCAGCGAAGACCCAGGGTTCTTGTCCTGTGTATGCAAGTCGTCCCCTGACCTGTAATTCACCACTCTCCAATGGTAACTCACCCAAGATCGCTTGCACCAAGGAACTCTGCAGAAAGACGGAATCCAGTAGATCACTATCATGATTGGAAGAGGTTCTCCTGCTTTTAAACGCTTTATATCGGATATGGAAAGGTAACGGTTGCCCTGGATACTGACGTTGGTCAACCGGTCCAAAGTGCCTATGACTCTGCGGTAACTCCTGCTACGACAGAACTGGAAAGCAGGTACAGGCTATTGCATTCTTCATCTCGATTCCCGGATTTCCATTTTTGGCCAACGTTTTTGTGGATATTCTTAGATTAGCAGCACTAAGGACACTGGGACTGGATTCCATGAAGTGGTTTGGCTTCCTTAGTTCCTCATGGAGGAGGAATTCCTGTATCGAGAAAAAATAGTCATATTTCGATTTGTTTCTTGGTTTCAACAGTATGCACTACAAAGGGCCGGACTAAGTTTGACCTGCAGTCGTTTGATAGAGATGACAGTTTCCGCTGCTTGAGCAACCCCAAAAGGGAAGTAAAAGGTCATGACCAATCGTATGTTGTTATACAGGGCCACTGCAAGGAACACCTAAACAAAATAGAGTTATAATTTTTTGATTCTCAGCTTTATTTGCACTCGCGCGATTCTCGGTAGATATTAAGCGTAGAAGACAGCTAGCAGACCAAGATTGAGAAGTACATGAGAGAGCCGATGCTGTGCCTTGTCACTGCCTTATCTTTTGTCAGTGCTCTAGAGTGATTCGGGATGGTTTTGCAAGCTACTGAGGATCTCAGGATGAATGCATTCGAATGAGCTTGATACGTATGACTGCATAGCTACGACTGAAATTATGATATTGCGAGGTAATGCTTGAATGATTCGTTCCTCAGGAAAGGTCCTTCTCAAATCTTGGCTGGAATAATGGGATTGGCCCCCTTCCATAGCGGTTGACCTTGACATTCAAAACATTGCCCTTCAGCGCTCCCACGATCAGGAAAATTAGATGGTATCGCTAGTTCGTTGAGTACGATAGCACCCATATTATGAAAGGGATCCTCTCCTATTAGATTGCCTGAGATTCACATCCGTGTATGGCCAAAGACGTAATAGGGGCTTCGTAATAGGGGATGTACGATCTTCGCCTCGACGTCGGTAAGAATGTGGAAAAGCAGACAGAGCTTCCGAACCCAGTCACCTTTCGGAGGTATCCATGGGAAAATGCACGCACGAAATGACACAACCAAACAGTATCTGTAAATTAGGCTTTCAACTCTTCGCCATGATAAAAGTTTGGGTTTATGCAGCTCCACCTAATGCTTATATCGCTAGGTATTGAAGTCGATGTACTCCATCTGACTCGAAAGTTCCTGAAAACACTCTATACCTGTAAGCGCCAAAGATTTCAATTTAGAACCACTGAGTTCAATAATTTTCTTAGCCTAACAAATGGACTTTTCTCGAGTGACAGTAGCTTTACCACAACAATGGAAGCTATCAAAAATATATTTTTTTCCTATGTATAAATTGCGTCTCTGTATGCATCTAAGGCAAATCAAAGCGAAGGACCATCAAAGTCTTTGAAAATGTCAAAAATGAGCTTTTTTCGGATATTCTTTTCCCAGCTAATTTTCTAGATTTTCCCAAGTTAGATTATGGAAAGTGGTATTGAAGTGTCAGGAAACAGAGCAGAAAATAAGAAATCGATCTCTAGCAGCGCTAATGAGTTGCATGATTTGATATAGTAATTTTAAATAATTTATATGTCAGCTTAATTTAACTTTGAGGGTGGTTATGAAAAGGATATGTCCGTGCCTTGTTGAATCTGCAAAACTAAATTGAATATTTCATCTTATGCCTAAAACATACCTCGTACATGAAAGTCATATCAATATTCACCCAATAACAAATCAAAATGTTTGATTAGGATATACGAATAATGAGACAATTAAGGTGACGGTAGGTTAGTCAATGTTTGGCACATTGCGCAATGAATTTTGCGCGTTGCATACAAATTTTGAATAAAAGCACTTCAGGATGACAAAGGGAGAAACTTCACGGGTTAAAAATAACCTATTGGAAACCTGAGTATACTGAGGAGAGCTGCAAGAGTTTAAAAGGAAAATATCATGATCCATTGGTAACGTATAAGGATGCTTCGTCGACATGAGTTCCTTCGGCGTTGAAGGTGGTTCTTATATGACGACCTCCACGACGTTTTGGAGACATGGACGTCGTTGGGACATGGATCTAACTAAACTTTTCTATAATCATAAGTTCTAGACCTAACATGGGATTTATCTGGACAATTTCGGATAAAATACCTTTGCAGCAGTGAGTTCATTGCCGAGCATCAAATAGACGATGAAATTGACGAGGAGAATGATTTTGGACGAAGTATAGAAAAGGCCCATGTTAATGCCCCGGAGAAAAGACGTCCTTCTGATAACATTGATCTCGTTCCTGGTGAGGGAAGGAATCAAGTTTTTCCTTCGTGGACCCAAGGGTGATAACAGCAATAATAGGGAAGGAGAGCGTAACAGACTCTCTAGCAAGATCGACCATTTTGGCAAAAGGTTTTTCCCATGCGTACATCTTGATTACTCTCATGGCATTCAAGATTTCGTTCATGAGTCGAACCCTTTCGTCTGTTTTCTTGGCAGTCATCGAACGGAGACGGGAAAACCACCGCCCCATCTGACCTGTAAAAATATGAATCCACATTTGAAACGACACTTGCGCTTCCAATCGCATAAGGGTGAGGGGCAGGACGAGAACCTTGAAAGGGCACGAAGAGGATGAGAATAGCAATGCCTGAGAGGCAGGAGATCCCAAATTCCGACCAAAGGATTACTGTCGAGATGATAGCCTGAATCGGCCCTATCCATAAATAGTGGAGAAAAATGACCGATTGGTCGAATCTGTTGACATCGTTGGATAGGAGGTTCACCATCTGACCGACGGTCGTTCGACCCAGTGCACATTTGCTCAGTTTCAACGCCTTTCAGGAGGAATAGAAACTTCCCTTGAGCCATGTCCCTTGTTCCAGGAAGAAGCAAAGAAAGAGGAAATGCATACTTTTCTGTAGATGATGGATCCACACGCGACCCTGATCTGCATCCCGCATCTTGCGATGTTGAAAAAGAGAGCATGATGCGTAAAAATGTATAGGAGTGAGCATAGTATGACACCGGTACCAAATAGCCAGCCCCAATATGTCTCGTTTCCATATTCCCAGTTCCCGGAGAAATATCGTATCAGCATAGCCATGAATACCGGCTGAGTCACCCTGGAAATAAGGAGCAATTTCGAAAGTGGTGCGATAATCCTCTCTTTGTCCTTTCTATGGGTGGTTGACTTCAATCTCTCAAGGTTTCCTCACTCTCAATCGGTAGCATTACAACGCCTTGATGGAATGATTAGAGAGAATAGGGATGTGGGACAACACACAATCATATCCGGTCACGTAATTGCCATTTGAGACGCGTGAATGCGTTTAAGGTTTCTTCTAGACCTGGACATGCCTCAACGAAGACCGTCCCAAGTTGTATTTAAGGAGAACTAAGGAAATTTTTTTTTTCATTACCTCAGCACGCATTCTTCGATGAAGGCGAGGATCCCAGTCAGAGCGTACTTTCCTCCGAATGTCTTGATGATAGCTTTCAGTAAACTCGGCGTTTTGATCTTCTGCTTTTCCTTCTTCGTCATTTGTCCCGTGTCCAAATGGCCGTCTAGGATGTCCGCCTTCTTCAATTCCTTCTCCCATTGTCTATATTATAATTCAGACGTCATCACAATTGGGGTCATTTGGGAAGATAAGATAGATAAGGACATATAAATGCAGATGAGAAGACAGATAAGGATGAGGTTAGGCAGTTGTGCGAAACCCACGAAACCTGCCACTTGGAAAAGATTGCTCATTGAAACTATTGACTATTGTCACTTTATTTCAGCAACTATTCTCATGTGACTAATGGACAACAATTGGTTGAGTTTAATGCCCTTTTCGAAGCACTTCAACCTTTGAGCTTACCTCTGAAGTTTGTCTCCCAAAGTTTCTGATTCGTCCTCCTGTGGAACTCCGAACAGATCGTCTAATTCCAAATCCCTGCTTGATCCAAGCCACATAAGAGGGTTCATCCACCTATGAAGAAAGGGTGAAAATTACAGACGTGTCGGTAAGGTCTTGGTTCGATCAAGGACACTGGTATATCCTCCGGATATTCCGCTTATCCCACAGTTATAAGTACTATAATTCCGAATATTCCCATTATCTTGTGGATATTCCACTGTTAAAAAAAGCCCCGCTAATACAAATTTTATAAGAAAGGCAGATTTAGTCCGTTTTTATTAAATTTCCGAACCCGTTAATTTATTTGCTCAGGGAGGGTGAATCATCACGGTTTTCTCTTTCTTTCTAGCGAGACTCCTTTCTTAAACAAAGAAAGAAATAAATAAGGCTGCTACTGTACAGGTGGGCCTATAAGTCACAACCGGATCATAGATAGGATAATATGTATAGCTTGCCTTGACCTTTTAAATAATGGACTGTTTCCGTACGAACTCCATGTTCAAAGCAAATTGAAATTTCTGCGCCATGTGCGCCTGGATGCATTTCTTAGCATTGGCTTTGTTATTTTGCAAAAGCATCACGCACAGCATTTTTAATCTCATTCGCATTTCGCGTTCAATTATGAGATACGGTCTCTTTTGTAAACGACCACAACCAATCACAAGTAGTGAAATCAGGTCTTCAAGGTCACTCTAACGGTCCGATCCATAAAGGGTTAATGGAGTTTGGTATCTTTGTTCCTTACCTCCCAGCTGAGGAAAAGGTATTTGATTCGTTTCCTCTGTTCGATAAGAAAAACATGTCTCATGAAATGGGAAGGCGGAAGAAACATTCCCAAAATGAAAGGATGAAAAAACCGTATCCGAGTTTATCCTTTGATATTGTCGAAATACTCGAAATGTGAGTTTTTTAAAAGCTCCCGCAGGATGACAAAATCGCTTGGGAAACAAAATTTTGTTTTGAGACTGGATGAATTCGCAATTGGGATAGTCCTCCTAACATCTTTCAAAATGTCCCCTTCCCTTTTTCTTGCCGATGTGAAGGTAATTAAAGGCCTATATAGAGTGATGAGATTTTCTTGTCTGGATTCGCCTCTTTGTTGTTATCCAAATTCCGATTCATGGTTTCAATCAAAGGAACAGGAAACATATTACTGCGAAATCTATCAGCATTGAAGCAGTCCTAACATAAACTAAAAAAGATCCTCCCTAACGCCTCAGGAGAAAGCTATTTCGGAATAAGAAAATGCGAATTTCCAGGCACACTGGTCACTTCCTTGGTTCGGGTCTAGTAAGCCGTTAAAATTGTGCGCACTCTAACTGCTGGGGATGCTTGGAGTCCTCCTGGATCCTTCCATATAACTGGACTCCTGCTTACTGAATCTTCAGAAACGCTTCCTGCATTTATGCAGATCTCTGACTGGATACATGCAATGCGTTTCAGGATTCGCAGTATGTGTAAAGAATTATTCGAGAGTTACCAACCAGAGATGGGAAGGGCGTAACGAAAGCAAGATGTTGCAAGCCTTAACGGAGGGGCGGACAAAGGGAGATTAATTCGACTGAGTCCGAGATACATTCCAAACAAGATAACCAGTAGCATTTCTGGCAGATCTACTTAGTCAAGTTCTTGAAACATAATTCATTGACAGTGGGCGCATTCAGTTGTGGCCCGAGTCATGACTCGAGGGTCTCAGTTCAACGTTTGCATTGAGGCTTCAAAATAAATTGTATTCCATGGTGACACCTCTTGTCAATGTCATCAATCCCGGGTATAACAGTTTTTGAAAAGCTCCGCGCCTGCCGAGAATCATGAACCTCGAGTCATGACCCAAACATTCTGGACCCATTCATTCAAAACTGAATGCGCCCAGTGTAGATCGGAATGTATTGACCGGTTGAGATCACCGTTCCATCAACTGGAACTCTGGCTTCGAGTCTTCAGTCCAACCACTAGTGGATTTTAAAATCCTTTGAAAACCCAGGTTTCTGACAGTTATCTGGATTGAATATGAGGTTCCGTGCCTTCGAAAATTTCATGAAGTGTTCGATGTGGAAATCGAAGCACACCTTTGTCGGTGTGGAAATCCTCATTGTCCTTGCATTGAGAACTGTGTCACCAGCATATTTAGTAATACAATACGTGAATTGGGATTCACAACCTGGAGGGAATCATTGTCGTAGGTGGAAAAGAATGGCGACAACACCCTACCTTACAAAATAGTCCAATTCAGGAACGAAGGGTGTTTGAGAACGAACTGGCTTTTCTCGGAGCCGGTGATCCACTGCAAAAACCATTACGTTATCCTCTTTTCGTCAGTGGGAACTACTATTTAGCAGATCGATGCAATTTAATGCATAACTATAAGAAAGCAGCAAACTATTCCCTATCGCAGTTCATTCAATTCCTGACTGATTTAAAGGAGGATCGTCAGAGTAGCATCTTTAGTTAACTAAGATACTTTAAAGGCGAAATAATGAGAATCAGACCAAACTAATTCTTTGGTTGGGTAGACCGAACCTACTCAACCCAGTCCGTGTTAATAGTGGAAGAGAAAAACTTTTCCATATTTAATTTCGGAAAATCTACACTGGCTTGTTTGACTCCGTGTCTGCATGTCTACTTTCGTTAGCGTTTGTGGATTCTGACCTTTTCTTTTATGAATTTGAGATCCATGAACCCAGAAGAGCACGGTATGCAGTAGATGATCGTCCCTCTTCCCAAGTACCAATCACTTCCAAGAACAACGTCTTCCAACATCGCGTTGTTTCCCTTTCTCCCCTTTGTTATTCATATCCCCCATTATATCGCCTGTTTCATTTGTGAAAGTCCTTCAGAATAAGTGTCCCACTGGAATGGGCTTTCATGAGCTTGTTTATCACTCGGTACTGCCATAACTTTTTGTGCGGATGAGAGGAGTCCGTGGGAGTTATAATTCTTTCTCTGAAGGCTGGATTTCTAAGGAAATCAAAAGCTGCTGGAGGCATTCTTCTGCCCTTCATCGCTTCAAGGCTGCTATTCATGAGTTAAAGAAGTTGATTGCCGTATTTCTTGGCTTCCTGCTTCTTGACAATCCTTAACTGCCACGGTTTGATAGCCCCCCCAAAAGCGCCTCTTTGTCACACAGGAGGTAATCCACATAGTGAGCGAGCAGGTGATGTGACGTCATCAATCGTGATCCCGTGAGTTGGCAATCGCAAAATTAGGAACGACAGTAACTCGCATTGGCTTGTGAATTCAGATGTAATTACTTAAAACCATATTTAGTACTTTTTTCGAATTCCTGAACGCATTATATTGATTTTCCTAGTTATTTCATTGCTTGGTGATGCGATACACATTAGGAGTGGAAAGGTGCGCGTATAAAGCGCGAGCATTGGGGCTGTGCGGCATGACAAAAAACTCTTCGAAAGAAATTTTTATATTTCACTATGGTGCGATTCTCATACACCATTATCCGTTTATTATCACAAGAAGACGATACTATCTACTGTCGTCTCTTTTCAGCGGTTTTCCGATGATGAAGCCTCTGTTGGGGTTAGATAGAGAATATAGTTCCGCTCGAATTTCTTTCATTCATTCCCTTCATGTCATAGGAACCATCTTTGTGGAAGCTGGCAGGCTCAATATCCCTCCCCCTTCCTCTTCCCTGATTTCGCGGACCTCCCCCAAGATTGAAGGATAAAATGTATAGGGGAAATTTTAATGCGAAAATCACAAGAGAACGCTGTAATTCTTCGATTAATAAATACTGTTGCAATTGTGCGGAAAATGTTCAAAAGGATAAGGAGGGTGAAAAAGGATAAGTCTGGGCAGACAAACTTAATAAGTACAAGCTGAGTTAGTCCGGAGTATTAGTGGCATATTTTCATTCATTGTTGGGAACAGGAGGATGTTTTAAATTGGTTGGGAGGAGAGTACGACGTGCAGCACTGCAACATGTAATGTTCCTTGAACCCATTTAGCAACCTTGTCTCCGCTGCCGTATGCTGCCTCTCCGTTTGTCAACCTACACGTAGATCAGTGAGCTACGAAGGCTTCAAGAGAACTGGCAGCTCTAGATGGGTACTTGTCATTCCGATCCAGGCTAAACACTGCTCGAACGCCTTCAGGTTGAGTCCAGGGAGATTGACAGTTGCTCATGCTTTCACCGTTGAGGGCAAATTGTAAATTTCTCAATAAAAATTCCACTTTTGGCACGGATCTTGCCTTAACGAAATTAGCCCGTGTCTTGCCCAAATGTATCAATGTGTCACAGTGATCAGGACAATATTTTTCCTGCAACCGCCATAGAACCTGAACAAAATTTCCATAAGCTGTCACAGTAGTGTATGGCCTTCCAGACCGTCGCATATTTGTCACTTTAACCCGGCCACCTTAAAAATGCCTACACCAGTCATACATAGTCCTTTGTTACATGCAGTCATCGCCAAACATGGTCTTTATTCGTCATTAGACTTTCGCAGGAGTTTTGCATTCTTTCATCAAGAATATTGAAGCCACCATGTTTCGTAATACTGTGTCAGCTACCTTCTGATTGAAACAAAAATACCATGTACTTCACGATCAATGTCCAAAGGTTTTTGCATGGTAGTTCGTGATTTGCACGATTCTTTCTTGCAGAATAAAAAAAAATTACAAAGAGGCAAACATGGCAAACAAACTCGCTATGGACCCACTTTCGGCGTTCTACGATCTAAGAAAATTACTAATGCATTCGAAGCATGCGTTTTCGATGTTCACGCCTATCAATGGGACAAGCTCCTTGTAAGCCTGATTCACTGAAGGAAAAAATTATTTGAAAATGTCACCCTGTGAAGAATATATTTCCAGAGGATTTATTTTAACAATACAAATTTTCCCGAAATCAGGACGTGAATACGTACCGCTACACCAAGATTTTCCTTTCTATCTCTTTCCGTTTTGCTGAAAGAAAAAAAATTATTATAAAGCTTCCTCCCAAAAAAGTACCCTTTGGGTATGTCTCCATGTCTCCATTCAAATATTTTATGGTATCAGTATCCCAATAGCTACGTGTGTACCAAGTTTCAGGTTTATATCTTATATAGAACATTGTTAGAAATAGTCAGTCAATCATTCAGTCACGATCGTCTATGTGCTAGGAAAACGGGTAATGAACGTTGCGCACGGACTCACTTTTTCTTCATCATGCTTAAAAACACGTTTATCTTATTTTCTTCTCTTTTCTTTGATCCTCTCATTTGTTAGGTTTGGATGAAGAGGATAACGACAAATCATTTTCATTTTCAGATGATACATTTTACCTCTCAATGTAACACAAAATGCAACGCTTTTCAGATGTGCGGAACCGTATTTTATTTTTCCATGGCACATCGTTGGAATACGAAATTATTTTTCATGAGGATGGCGATTAAGAAGCCGCATGCAAACGGAACTTAAAAGATAAAAAATTAATCCACAAAAAATAATCATAAGTTGCTGATGATGAATAAGGAGAATGGTCAGGAATGAAAAC